AAAAAAAAAAAAAAAATCGGTTCATAAGAGTAATTTATTAAAGTTTTGGGCATCCATCCTCACATCAACGTAACTCTTTATGCAACTTTTCATGCAGATCTTTTCATGACTATCACTAATAGTTCCTACATTTTTTATTTATTTTTTGCAACAATTTTAGTCAGTCTGGGGCCCTGTTACCACCCTTCTTCATCTCAGTATGGTATAACATGATCTCCATAATATCTCCATCTGCCACTTCTCTTAGAATGAACTGAATGAATGGACTTGCCACTTACAAAGTATTTAGAGTAAGAGATTAGCACTTAGCAGCCTTAACTCTCTCTTCCTTCAACAGAACCAGATCTAGGGTCAGGAGATGGCCTCTTTGGCACACCGTCTCCAGATGTCTACCGAATTAAGAGGGCAAGAATGTCATCTTTCCGAGTCAATTCTCCCTTAATCACTGCTGAGACCAAGGTTCGAGGGAAGTAGTCTGCATATTCCAAAGAGCGAAGCCATCGTTTCCATCTCAATTTCATCATCAATAAATCAGCTGAACTGGCAACAACTACACAAGTCTCCTGAGACACACACACACACACACACATTCTACAGTTCCAACCGCTTTGGAATATTCCAGTTAGTCAAGAAGGGGGAGACACCTCAGGGAAGACCAAATGGTGCTGTATAAATTAACCACCTCTAATGGGACTCACAGGTTCCTAGCACCTCTCCTCTGGCAAATTATTGTGGTTTGCCATCATGTTGTGTCACTCTTATGACATAACCAAATGAACAGAATTAGTCTCAAAAACAATTAATCAATTCGTCGTTTCACCTGAAAAAGGAAACATGTTTTAAAATAGGATACACAGAAACAGTATTGGTGCTTGTGTAATTGTTTAACAAAATTGTGGGCAAAGAAGGGTACAAAATGTGATGGAGATGAAGAACGTTTTTTTAGGAGAGCATCAAACCATATTATTAGTCTTTCCAGCTGCTGTTAGGAGCTCATAGTAACTTCAGCAAATGTACTGTATGACAAAATGCACATAACAATTCTGCTATTCAGCCAAACTCCACACTTTCCCCAATGAGAAAAACTGATTTCATATTCCGTTCCTTGGATTAAATGCACTATGTAGATAGAGAATCACCTTGTTTTTGTTTTTTTTTTAAAGAGGAAGGACAACTGTAAACATGTATAAACTTTAATAGACAGTTCTGTGGTAATAGGCTTTGGGCTTGGGTTTCCTCTCCCTTTTCAAACGGACTAAAGCTGTAACTAGATTTGAATTGGTGAAAGCAAATTGTTTCAATGTTTTTTCTTTCTTTTGTTAAAACATGCCTTTGAGCATGATTTTAAGTGGTTCTGAATACAATTTTTGGATTCTCCTCTATTGTCTCTAGTTCAGCACAATTATTAAGTAACCCTAAAATAAATAAAATAAAAATGTGCAATTGTGTGAGCTAGAGGAGACCACACAAAATCCAACTGGAGCACAAGGGGAAGCGGGAAACTACTCGTATAACTTGAATTCTGTTTTTGTGTTTCATGCATGTCTTTCCATCACAGTTACATGCATAGGACTGGTTTCCTTCCTCAATACCTTTCCATGTCTTCGTATTCCTATATAAATATTGTTGTATTCATTATTTATAGATGACTATTAGCAATTGATGTTTTCTCTACTCTGTATACCAATTCATGTATTTTTCCATTTCTAGCCTCTTGTGTGAATTTGTCTTGCCAGTGTGCAGAGTCTTACCAATTGATGTTAAAACGAAATAAACTTTGTTGTGCGTTTCTATTTTTAAGACAATCCATGGTTTTATCAATACTCATACTACCTGAATGTTTAATTTGTGATATTTTAATGAAGATTCTGTAGCCAAGAAACCTCGACTAAAATACTGACATATGCACATGACTCTCCTGGCCTGACAGGCTGCTAATGTGGATTTAATGATAGCATGTCCATGGAGAAGTTTCTTGGAACGTCCCATGTCTCATCCACTGGGACAGTTTGGTTGCTGTTCAGAGCGTTTTTCCATTCTTTCAACTTTTATCATAAAAGCTGCCAACACCATAATATAAATATATTAATTTTTTGATACACATCCACAAGTCATGAAGTAGTAAATACACAGTAACAGTTCACCAGGAAGATCGATGCCTTGTTGAAGTAATGGTTCACCAAAAAATGAAAATTTGCTTAAACCCTTAAGCTATCCAAGATATAGCTGAATTTCTTCTTCGGAACAGGTTTGGAGAAATTTAGCGTTACGTCACTAGCTCAGTAATGGAGTGAATGGGTGCCGTCAGAATGAGAGTTCAAACAGCTATTAAAACATCTACCAGTCCATCATTTAACGTCTTGTGAAGCAAAAAGCAAGACCTCTTCATTTCAAATAAATCCTCTATCCATAGTATTTCTATGGATGTTGTCTTTTCTGAATCAGGAGAGAAATATGCCCAGATCTGGCAGCGTTTACAAGTGAAAACAGTCCTTATAGATTATGGACACATAATTTGGCCAGAAGTGATGGTTTAATGTTAAAACGCCTTAATGATAGGTTTGTTTATTACAAACACACAAACTTTCCCTTCGCAAGATGTTAATTGTTGGACTGGAGACACATGGATGTCATGTGATGTTTTTATCGGCTGTTTGGACTCTCATTCTGATGGCACCCAAGGGATGTAATACTAAATTTCTCCAAATCTGTTCCAATGAAGAAACAAACTAATCTTCATTTTGGATGCCCTGAGAGTGAGTGAATTTTCAGCTAATTTTCATTTTTGGTTGAACTATTGCTTAAGTAATGGAATGAAATAGGGCAATCCTATAGTACAGCTTCAGTTTGAAGCAGTATCCCTGAGCTATGACGCTGATGATGACTTCTTTCCTTTTGAGATGACCACAGCCTCCTCCCCAATCTGATCATCAATAAGCAGAGAGATTGCTCCATCCAGCTGCCCTGTAGCGGCCAGAGCCACAACAGCTTTCTCTGTGGGGAAGCCCATCTTCTCTAGCTGTTGCAACCTGAAAGTGCAGGAGTTTAGATAGATGAACAGCATTCAAGAGATCACTGTTGAAGAAACACTCATGTACAGTATGTACTAACCGTATAGAGGACACTGAGGACTTGGGTACTTCCACTTTGTCCGCAACACCTTCGGGTGCGTCGTGGAGTGATGCTAGTATCCCTGCTCTCAGCATCTCCTCCTCTAACAGCTGTGAATCGGTTGCCATCAAAGGCTCCTGATGCCACTCAGACACAGAATGCTGCCATGCAGAATGATCTTCCAACTGGGATCTACTGGTTGATGGCTCTGGTCTATTACAGAACAATAATAAAGCTCATTCATTCTAGTTACATTATGCGGTTTTAAAAAAAGGAATTAGTAGCATAAAGTTCACATTAACCTTATTGAGGTGTTGTGGTAAACAGGCAGGTGTGGATGAGAGGTAACAGGGATGTAAGCCCATTTTGGCAAGCAGGCACAAGCACCCAGTTTCTCTATCTGCTCCAGTATTTCAATAAACTCATTATTGTCTGTATAATATATTAAGGGCATTACTTTAATGAGTTTATAAAGAGATCATTTTATACCGCAAAGTGTACCACAGTGGTTCTCAACCAGGGGTCTCAGCAAACATCTAAGGGGGCTGCAGGGTGACTTAAGAATTTAAATCACTGTATATATAGCAATAATCTAACTCTACATACTCTAACGCCGCAAAAAAAAATCACATAAAATACTATATATATTAAATGAATTAAAAATCTGTCATCATTTTCTCCACCTCATGCACTTCCAAACCTGTATGACTTTCTTTTGTGGAATGTTGTCAAGTAGTTTCGGTTCCCATTGACTTTCATTGTATAGACAAAAAATGCAATGAAAGTCACTGGGAACCAAAACTGTTTGGTTATCAACATTCTTCAAAAATATTTAGCAAACCGGTTTGGAATGACATGAGGGTGAGTACGGTATGTGATGAAGAGTTTTTATTTTTGGGTGGACTATCACTTTAACCACAATTTCTGTTAATAAAAAAAGTCTGAAAACTTGAAATATATCGAAAATAGTCTATATGTGGGGTCTTTGAATATTGTGTTGGACATCGGTGAGCCTTTAAGTCGAAAAAGTTGAGAAAGGATACAGTTGAGACCCAGGCAAATGGCATAAAAGTGCAGCAGGCCAGGAGCACTGGGAAGCAGGAAGAGGTTGAGGATCAAGAGGAGCCAAGGCAAGGACCAGACAGGAACAAAGCGCAAGACTCTCCTCTGCTTCACCTGCCGACACTGAGCTGTGAGCAGGACAAGGTGGGTGGCTGAGTAACCACTGACCCTGCTGGCTTCATCCCCGGTAACAAAGAGAAAGAGGGCATAAATAGGAGGAAGGAGCACAGTAGAGATAAAGGAGAGGGCTAGGAAGACAAAAGTGCCCCATCTTCTCTCCTGACAGGGCCCGAGCCACAGCAGCAGAGTGATGTTGTAGAGAAATGAGGTTAACTCCTCATTACTGAAGGCGTAGAAGATGAAATCTGCAATACACAAGGAACATCAGGAACTGAATGTTTAGAATCTAGAATCATAGACCTTGTGAATCGGTTGCCATCAAAGGCTCCTGATGCCACTCAGACACAGAATGCTGCCATGCAGAATGATCTTCCAACTGGGATCTACTGGTTGATGGCTCTGGTCTATTACAGAACAATAATAAAGCTCATTCATTCTAGTTACATTATGCGGTTTTAAAAAAAGGAATTAGTAGCATAAAGTTCACATTAACCTTATTGAGGTGTTGTGGTAAACAGGCAGGTGTGGATGAGAGGTAACAGGGATGTAAGCCCATTTTGGCAAGCAGGCACAAGCACCCAGTTTCTCTATCTGCTCCAGTATTTCAATAAACTCATTATTGTCTGTATAATATATTAAGGGCATTACTTTAATGAGTTTATAAAGAGATCATTTTATACCGCAAAGTGTACCACAGTGGTTCTCAACCAGGGGTCTCAGCAAACATCTAAGGGGGCTGCAGGGTGACTTAAGAATTTAAATTTATATATATATAGCAATAATCTAACTCTACATACTCTAACGCCGCAAAAAAAATCACATAAAATACTATATATATTAAATGAATTAAAAATCTGTCATCATTTTCTCCACCTCATGTACTTCCAAACCTGTATGACTTTCTTTTGTGGAATGTTGTCAAGTAGTTTCGGTTCCCATTGACTTTCATTGTATAGACAAAAAATGCAATGAAAGTCACTGGGAACCAAAACTGTTTGGTTATCAACATTCTTCAAAGATATTTAGCAAACCGGTTTGGAATGACATGAGGGTGAGTACGGTATGTGATGAAGAGTTTTTATTTTTGGGTGGACTATCACTTTAACCACAATTTCTGTTAATAAAAAAAGTCTGAAAACTTGAAATATATCGAAAATAGTCTATATGTGGGGTCTTTGAATATTGTGTTGGACATCGGTGAGCCTTTAAGTCGAAAAAGTTGAGAAAGGATACAGTTGAGACCCAGGCAAATGGCATAAAAGTGCAGCAGGCCAGGAGCACTGGGAAGCAGGAAGAGGTTGAGGATCAAGAGGAGCCAAGGCAAGGACCAGACAGGAACAAAGCGCAAGACTCTCCTCTGCTTCACCTGCCGACACTGAGCTGTGAGCAGGACAAGGTGGGTGGCTGAGTAACCACTGACCCTGCTGGCTTCATCCCCGGTAACAAAGAGAAAGAGGGCATAAATAGGAGGAAGGAGCACAGTAGAGATAAAGGAGAGGGCTAGGAAGACAAAAGTGCCCCATCTTCTCTCCTGACAGGGCCCGAGCCACAGCAGCAGAGTGATGTTGTAGAGAAATGAGGTTAACTCCTCGTTACTGAAGGCGTAGAAGATGAAATCTGCAATACACAAGGAACATCAGGAACTGAATGTTTAGAATCTAGAATCATAGTCCTGTACATTCGTGCATTGCTTACCATAAAATCCAGGAAAATCCCCGCCTGGTCCTAAACTTAGACTGGCGTGAATACCACAGAGCCAAGTCGACAAAATTAATAGGAGTATTAAAAATGTTCCACTACAATAACCTGGACGGTTTGATCCAAACCACATCCATGCCGAAAAGAGATGATCAAACATTGTAAAATGAAAAACGCATCACCCGACAGTTGCTATCATTACAAGTATATATCTAAATAGGCAGGAATATCATAATGTATGTATTCATGTTTCCAGTTTCACTTCATTCCAGTTTACGACGCTGTCATATTGAGGTCTGTTTTAACAGATACTTCATCTAACGATGAGAGTACTTACTACAACGTGCACAAATATCCAATTTGTTATAATAATTTAAAAAATAATGATAATAAACAAGTAGGCTAAGACCAAGCTACACCAGTAACCAATGTCATTTGCAAACCCTTTTATTTTGACAGCGAATAACTTCCTTTTACGGGCAAGGGCATTGGGGGAGTATCCGAATATGTTTAGTAAAACGTAATTTTAATACGCATATTTATGGAATTGTTAAACTATATCTAACTGTTTTATAGAGATTAGTAATTGATCGAATCAATTGTATAGATAATCAGGCAAATAACATGTTAATAATTACAAACAGAGATTTACATCCGCCCCCCTCTACACTCGGTTTATTGGTACGTTCCAAATTGACTTCACGCATGCGCACTTATCGCGCATGCACAGTCGTTCACATCGCGAACGTTCTCCAACGGAAAGATGGCGTCAGTCTCGAGTGAGTTTTTTTTTTCTCGTTTATGTCGTTTACATTTTTTATGATTTTAGTACTTTGCAAATGCTAGAAATTGTCACAGTTGAGGTAATCGTTAAATAATGTTAAGAATTTGGGAGCTTTTGTATAACTGACATTCCTCGAGCACGCGGCCTAAGATTTGTGTTTTTAGGTCAAGGTGGTTGTTTGAAGCTAACAGATCGTTAGCTCGGCCCAACCGGTTTTAAAATTAGTTTATAGTATAATAAGAGCATAAATTTAACACGCCATCAAAATAATTTACTGTAATGCGTTTTCGTGTTCTTTTACGTGTCTAAACCCAGAGCTCGTTTCAGCAAGTAAACAGTGGCTAGCAGGCGTGGTTTAAAAACTGCGGGATAAAGAGCGCAGCCACCTCAACGAACGCAATGTTTAGTGTTGGTATTGCACTCTTGCTTTTAGTGTTTCAAAATAAACTTGCACCTGAGGTTTGGTTTCTTGCAAGTCTTGTTTT